TTTCCTATTAAGCTATCTGCAATATATCTGCTTAAGCTGCTAATAATTTGGCTGGAAGATACGTTAGATACAGCATTTGGGGAAAGCGAAGTACCCATCTCAGGGGGTAATGACATTGTGAAGTCATATTATTTCTACTGTGGGGAACAATTGTATGCCTGAGCTAATAGTTTAAGCTACCAGAGAGCTCACCTTGAGTGGAGGGAAGTGGTTGAGAGCTCTACAGGCAGCTGTCAAGGACTTGGGGTGTGTAAAGTAATACTTCAACCCGATTAATGTGTGACGTGTAATCCCATTCATTAGCCGCTGTCACACTACACCAGCTGAGGGAGGTCCCCGGACGAGGGGTCCCCCAGACCAAGTTCCAGCTCTTGCTACTTTCCAGCTGTTTGACCCTGGATGACTCCCTGGCCCACTGCAGGCTTCATTCAGAAATGCCCAGCATGAGACACCTGTGCGTACGTGGGCAGCACGTTCAGTAACAGCGAGGGGCCAGGTGGACGCTGGGCTCCATGGGACGGGGACAGTCCCTCTGCAGAGCCCCGCAAGCGCCTTCTGTGGAGCACGCCCATCACCCATCGCCTCCCACTCCATCAGTCGTCTTTCGGCAACATTCTCTTCCCATACGTACCAGCTGGAGGGCAGTGTCTGCAGGGCTGGCAGGGCCACTCGCTCATGAAAGCTCAGGAAAACATAACCACCGCTCCACAGGAGGCGACAGCCAGGCTTTGGGGACCCTGTCCGTTGTTAGTTATGTTTTGGGGGCTCAGTATGGTGACTGAGCAGCCACTCGCAGCCCATTACGCCTGCGCCCGCCAAGAAGGATGCTCTTTACAGGACTTCTGCAAAAGGTACATTTACCGTTGTCTCCATCACTCCTCCTGGCGAATTAAGCCCAAAGGTCTGCGGTGCTCTCATAATGAGCAGTGGATGGATGGAATGGTGATTCTGTTGCACGAAGCCCTGGAGCTGAAAATTGGGGGGAGGGAGAAAAAGGCTTATGTTTGAACAGACTTCATACTTACAGAAGTTGATGTGGACAAATGAACATAAATACTAAAAGGGGCAGCGAGACAAGTCTGACACGCAGGGAGTCTTTACCTCCCGTGTTAGGCAAGTTTCCATTGGCGGGGGGCCATGGATTGGGTGACGCAGGCCCTTCTCTGAAAACCATCCGTGTTTTCCTTTGTAAAACCCTCAGCTGCTGACCAGGGCTCTCAGGGACCTGACCGTGAGCCTTGCCTGCCGCTGCTGCCCAGCACTCCCTCCCTCCTGTGGCTTTGGCATATTGGACAGACGCCCCCAGGGGCCCCCCAGGAGCGGATGGCCCTGTGGCCTGCAGCTCGGGGCCTCTGGCTCAGCCGGGAGCCTGGAATCTGCGAGGGCTCAGAACAGAGGCAGGGAGAGGATGTCTTGGTGAGTGGAGCAGAGGTCGGCTCAGCAGCAGGAGATGGCGTAGAGCCTTCTGGAAAGGGGAAGGCACTCTGCCCAGCGGGCGTGGTGGTTGGGAGGTGGCCAGCAGCCTTGGCAGGGCTCCGGGCACATGCGGGCCCTGTGCTCCCTGTCTGCTCTCGGCCGCCACATGCAGACACCACCACCCTCCACGAAGCAGCCCCTGGGCTCTGATGCGACACAGTGAGCACATGGTGGCCCCTTATTTCCAGCCTGGTGGTCTTATCTGGGTTTCTGCCTGCCTTCTTCCCTGCGTCTGTGGGCAGCAGCCCTCCGGGTCACCCTGTGGGCACCCGCCCCCCGGGCTGGCATCTGAGAAGTTGGCTGTTGTGGAAACAGGAGGCCGCGGTGTAGTGCTGTTCAGAGGGACAGGAATTTCAGCCCATGGAAGTTCTGTGGTGATTGCTTCCTTATCTCAGGCCCCGGCTCAGACAGCGGTCGCCGACCCCCCGTCATGCACCTGCCCGGGAGCGTGTGCGTCTCAGCTCAGGCGTCAGGGGATCTGGTCATTTTTACCACACCCTCAGTTTACCTGAGGCACAGCAGGCTGGCTTTGCACGCGGGGGTCCTGGGACCTCAGCATATGCCCTGGCCCCGCACCTTCGCCTTTGTGTAGAATTTCCTGACATTCAGAGGAGAAGCACGTTTGTTGTGTGTTCCCCACTTTGCCCAGCCTTCTGGCAGGCACCTTCTTTCAGTGTGAAATAAATCAATATTTACTTCCAAAGTCTTCGTTCACAGTATGTTTTCCCACTTAAATGAAATGGAAACAAACACTAAAAGAAGAAGGAAAAAAAAGGTCCTGATTCACTCTGGAGAAACAAATCAGGCTAAATGTGTTAATAGTCTCCGCTCAGGATAGCTCTCTGGCTTCTGGAGAATTCCTGCAGTCCAAATGAGAAGTTCCTTGCAGTCTGTCGTTTTTTCTGTGGTGCCCACCCAAGAGGTGCCTTTCTGTTTTTCTAATTTAAATATAATTCACCTGTTGACACAGCTTGCAGGGAATGGTACAGTCATGGGGCCACCCTGGAGGAGCCTGGAGTCCTGGCTGTTAGAGACGGATGGGGGGGGAGGGGGAGGGGGAGGAGGAAGAGGACAAGGAAGAGGAGGAGGAGGGAAGAGGATGAGGTGGAGGGAGGAGGACGAGGAGGAAGGAGGAGGATGACAGGAAGGGGACAAGTAGGAGGGAGGAGGAGGGAGGAGGAAGAGGAGGAGGAGGGAGGAGGATGGAGAGGAGGGAGGAGGAGAATGAGAGAGGTGAGGAGGAGGGAGGAGGAGGATGAGTAGGAGGGAGGAGGAGGAAGACTAGGAGGAGGTGGTGGAGGGAGGAGGAGGAGGACAAGTAGGAGGGAGGAGGAGGACGAAGAGGAGGAGGACTAGGGGGAAGAGGACAAGGAGGAGGGAGGAGGAAGAGGACAAGGAAGAGGAGGAGGAGGGAGGAGGAGGATGAGTAGGAGGGAGGAGGAGGAAGACGAAGAGGAGGACTAGGAGGAGGAGGACAAGTAGGGAGGAGGAAGAGAAGGAGGAGGGAGGACAATGAAGAGGCGGGAGGAGGAGAATGAGAGAGGTGAGGAGGGAGGAGGAGGATGAGTAGGAGGGAGGAGGAGGAGTACGAAGAAGGAAGCTAAGTAGGTAGGAGGAAGAGGAGGAGGGAGGAAGAGAATGAGAGAGGTGAGGAGGAGGAGGGAGGAGGACAAGGTGGAGGGAGGAGGAGGAGGACTAGGGAGGGAGGAGGAGAATGAGAGAGGTGAGGAGGAGGAGAGAGGAGGAGGAGGACCAGGAGGAGGACAAGTAGGGAGGAGGAGGAAGAGGAGGAGGGAGGAGGACGATGTGGAGGGAGGAGGACGAGTTGGAGGGAGGAGGAAGATGAGTAGGAAGGATGAGTAGGAGGGAGGAGGATGAGGACGAGAGGAGGAGGAGGAGGAGGAGGGGCAGGAGGAGGCGGCGGCCCTCCCATGCCCAGCAGGCAGCCGCGGGGCCGGGAGGCGCAGCGCAGGAGGGGGAGCTGCGCGCCTGAGCCACCCTCGCCTCTGCGGCAGTCCTGGGAGGCCTGGGTCCTCTGCGCATCCTCCGGAGGCCTTCTCTGACCCCCGCCCCTGGCACTGCTACCCCTCGATGGGGACGTCGCAGCTCTGCTCCCACGTCTGCCCCACTGGACGGGGCCTTCCATCTGTGCACCCTCCCTGGCGCCTGGCGCCGCCCCCGGTGCCTGGGGGGTCATAACTCGGTGGATCCCGGGTGCCTGTGTGTGCACAGCCTGGCTCTGGGGAGCGCGGGGCCAGGACACTGCGGGCCCTGCCTGCTTGGAGCTTAGCCTGTGGGGCCCCGATAGGATGGCAAGTCTGGTGGCATGGCTGGCCGAGCCGGGAACTGACGCGCCGCAGCACCTCACAGGTGGCCGGCGTTTAAGAGCGTTGGAGTGAATACCAGACACTGAAAACGGGCAGCCATGTGACTAAGCACCCGCTTGCACCTAGAATCCCCTCTGTCTTCCCAGCCACCCTCTAGAGCGGGCATCGGAGCCCATTTTACAGATGGGAGAGCTGAGGGTTGTAGGCAGGTGCCAGTGGTGGGCCCTTCCCCGTGCAGGACGAAGCCCACGTTCCTCCCACCGGGCCGCTCGGCTCCTGGTCCATGTCCCTGCACACGTCTGAGGACTCCCTCGTTCGCTCCCAAATCATCCCGGACCCTCCTCTGGGGCTTGCATTCTAACCCTTAACGTTTTGCAGCAGCTCCAGGCTCGCAGCTCTTCCGTCTTCCCCACGTTCTTGTGATGAGTTTTGTTCTCAAGAGCAAAGACAGCCGTTACTTAAAACAGGCCAGAGCCCCGCAGGGTCAGGGGCGCGCGGCTTCCGCGCCAGCTGGAGTTGGCTCTGTCTGGAATCTGCCTGCTTGGAGCGACGGAGAAGGGCCGGCTGTAGGATTCAGGCCCCTCCCCTGACAGGTGCCCCCACAGACCCTCCAGCCCAGGCCCGGGGCGGCCGTTCCCCCAGCGGGCCGCCTCCTGCACGGCTGAGGCCTGGGTGTCGGTGCTCGGCAGCCGGGGGAGTCGCCCTTGCAGGGACATCTGTCTCCTAGCGTGACACTAATCTTCGTATAGGGAGGTGAGCTCCCACAGTGTGTGGGGAGACGGCCCAGGATCAGCCCAGCCCCCTTCTCACCGCCAAGTGGACCAGCTCTGAGTTTCCAGGAGCCACCCACCGAACCTTCAATAACTCAAATGCCACCTGCCAGCCCTCAGGCCTTTGGCAACCCCCACACTCCTGGGAGAGAGCCTGGTGCCCAGAGAAGATCTTGGACTTTGGGTTTTGACTCAGGCTCTGCTATCTGCCTCCACTGGGGCCCTGGGGTCTTGTCGCTTTGCAGCGCTGAGCGTCACTCCGTCCGTCCCTAAGCAGGGGTGAGAGCAAGCAAGCATAGAGCATTGCGTGCAGTAGGGACAAGCTCCTGGGACGTGCTGGGTGCTCCATAAGCGGTGGTTGTGGTTCTGTTGTTATGGCCGGACCCAGAAGCAGGACCTGTGTGACCTTTCTCTTGCCCTCACACAGGTAACGGACGAGGAGCCCAGCTCCAACCACACGGTCATGATCCAGGAGACCCTCCAGCAGGCCTCTGTGGAGCTGGCCGAGCAGCACCACCTGGTGGTGTCCTCTGATGACGTGGAGGGCATCGAGACGGTGACTGTCTACACTCAGGGCGGGGAGGCCTCGGAGTTCATCGTCTACGTGCAGGAGGCCATGCAGCCCATGGAGGAGCAGGTCGTGGGGCCGCAGGCCCAGGAGCTCTAGAGGACACGCGGCGTCGGGTGGGTGCCACGCAGCCAGCCCGCCAGGCCCTCCGCAGAACGGCGCTCTCCGTGGCGCTTTCCTCCGCTGTTCCTGCCCAGGCGGCCACACAGGGCTCCTGGTCCTACTTGGGTGGGCAAGGCGATTAGCATCACCAGCAGATACAGGATCCCCACCTCCAGCACAAATGCATACCACCCCCCCCCCTTACTCTGTATCCTCTGATTCTGGGAAGACTTGAGCATCCTCCTTCCACACGGCCCGCACCGCGTCGCCCCTTTGCTCCCAGGTTCATATGGGGCCCCAGTCCCCGTCATCATCTGCTCTGAATCACACCCCAACTCCTTGACCCCGTCCAGGTGCCGAACTTCCGCTCCGCAGCCTGCTGAGAGGGAGCCAGTGGCACAGAGAAAGTGACCTTATGGTTTTGAGTCAGCTCTTAGGGGAAAGAGGGGTGGGGGTGGTCCTGGCTTTATCTACAAGAATCTACTTCCCACCCCCCCAACCCCACCCAGGATCAAGGGCACTTGTTACCTGATGCGGTAACCACAACTGATGACCCTCCCACTCCCATGACAGGTGGGGTCTTAGCTTATGTCTTAGAAATCTTTTGCTTTTTTAAAAAAAAAAATGCACTTTTTACTATTCACCTCCCATTTTGTGAGATGTGGTGGATAGAATAAAGACCTTCTCTGCCTGAGTCCTCCGGTTCCTGCGTTAGCTCGGATGGTTTACACGTCCTCTTTCTGAATCAAAATCTAGGGTTTGGGCCCCACCCAGACGCCCCCCTTCCACCCCCCAAGAACCTGTCCACTGAAGCCTTAGCAAATATATGAGCAGAAGGACGGACATGAAGCCGTAGTTGCTCTGGTTGAAGAGGGCAGGGTCTGCAGCCCCCGTGCTCTTGGCCCTGTTAGGGCCCAGACTTCCCACCCCGGCACGGCCTGAAGGCGCCTGTTGAAGGGGAAGCCTAAAGCTGCTGCTCTAAGACCCAGAGGAAAGTGGCTTCTTGCCCTGGGCAAGGAAAGGAGTTCAGAGCAAGGACGGGCGACTCCCCACTTGGGATGAGTTGGGGAAAGCTCCGTGGTGGAGGACACCTGTGATCAGGGCCTCAACGGCTGGGTCGGTTTTGTGCTTGCAGGATTGGGGTGGAGGGACGGGGAAGGGTAACAGAAGGAAAGAGCAACAGTAGAGCCGCGCCCAGAGTGGAAGGGCCGGGGGGTTGGGGAGACACTGGGCCTTGGGCACCCCCATTTGGCTGGTGGGTGGCTGCAAGGGGAAAGGCGGGGACATCACCCGGCAGCCAGAGCCTAGAAGAACCAGGCCTGAGACAAGGATACTGACTATTCAGTAAACCACGGCGAGGTGGGGGCCGTGGGTAGTCTCAGGGTGCAAAGGGCACCAGAAAGGGTGATGCTGTCCACGCGTCGGGGTGGGCTGTGTCAAGGTGGTCAAGCATCCAGATTGGAGGCAGAGCACCGGGGCTCAAGCCCGCATCGTCGCCTCCTCCCTGGGTGGCCCTGACGTTTCTCCGTTCCTGGCTGAGTTCTAGTGCAGTCACCTCTGAAGGGGGTCGAGGATGATCGCTGACTGCTGAGACTCCGGAGAGGATTGAGCTTGCCAGGCCCTCGGAGGCGTTAGCAGAGTACCCGGCCCGTACTTTGTGAATACCAGTATTCCCGGGCGTGGGGCACCACACCTTGGTCACCCCCAGCCTCCACCGTCTAGTGGGAGAGACGGGACGTGAACGCACAGCAGGAAAAGACTGGATGTGCTCTGAGTGAGACTGGAGGGAGAACCCGCCCTTCCTGACACGCGGCCTTTGACCAGAACTGACAGGGACGCAGGGTACTGAGGAGGAGGCGCCCACTCAGCAGAGGCTCTGCGCTGCCCGCCTGGCTGAGTCGGGTGCCTTCAGGGCTGGGCCGGCCGTACACACTGATGCCTCAGAAGTTGCCTCTCCTCGTTCCTGAGGTGCACGTCCAGCACGGGCCGCTGCTTTGCACCATCAGTGACCCCAAAATCGTTAAAAAGTCTTGTTCTAATTTGTAAACCAGCACGCCCCCACCCCACGAAGAGAAACCTGCCCTGGCTGGCGTTCACGGTGAGTGTGTCGGGTGCCTGCTGGGCCACCTGAAGTCCCAGGCGCTGCTAGACAGATTTGAAGGAGAAGTGGCTTGGGTTTGAGTCAGATGACTCGTTGAGATGTTGGTTGACCTTGAAGAGCATCATTTCATCTTCCACAACGTGGGGTAAATTAGTGGCCCCATTGGCCTGGTTGGTTCCAAGGATTGACGGTGATCGCATGTATCAAAGCGCCCAGCACGCCGTACGCACGCGGTAGGAGCCCAGCAGGTGTTTACTTCCAGGTGGCTTCCGAGGAGAGTCCGGGACAGGCAGCTGGACAGGGCCGTCTCATGTCCCCGCCCATGAGCTGAATCCTGGCGTCAGCTCTCTCCCCTTTCCTGGGCCTGCCACGGTGCCCGGCGTGCCTCGTTCACCCACTGAGTCAGCAGAGACCAGTCGGCTGCCTCCAGTGGCCGGTCACTGGGCTGTGAGCTGGGAACACGTGGCCCCAGGCCTCAGGGACTCCCCACTGGGTCAGAGGGTGGAGGCGTGGGTAGGTGGCCCACAGGGAAGCCTCTGCAGGTGCACAGTGGGGATGCTGTTTCAGCCAAGGGGGCCCCTGGGAGACACGGCTGCCGCCTCCGATGAGCCTGGGGCCAGGCAGGGTGGCCGCAGCAGGCCCGCAGGCCTGAATCACCGTGGCCCACCCAGGAGATAAAGACCAGGAGCCCGCGTGGACCCGCCCAGCCCAGCCCCGAGTGGGGCTCCACTGGCATCTTGCTGGGCCCGAGGGTCGGCTCTGGCGTGGGCTCATCCGACCGATCAGGACGTAGGTCAGGAGGGTGAGAAACCTGCCCAAGGTCAACAGCTGGTCAGGGGCAAGGCCAGGAGCGAGAAGCGGCCTGTCTGACGTGGGAACGTGCTCTCCGGCCATCTCCCCATGCTGCCCCTGGAGCCTTTGGGAGCATTGGCCTGGGAGCGGTGGCCCCAGAGCAGGGGGGCAGGGGCACCTGATGGTGAGACCTAGGACCGTAGGAGGGGGGAGAGGAAGGGACGGATGGGGAGAGGGAGGAAAGAAGGTTGCTGTTTAACCATTCATGGTGTTCTTTTATATCTACAGCCTGTTTCTCCCCACCCCCCCCCCATAGGAAACCATCCAGCACCTGGCACTCCCCTTGCACGGGCCGTGGGAGCCTTTGCTCCTAGCACATGCTGGGTGGCGCCGGGTTATTTTTGCACATCCCCCCCCAATTACGGCAAACAGGGTGGGGAACACACCCCGTGGCTGGTTGGGGGGCAGGGCAGGGGGCTGGTTCTCCAAAGTCCTTTTGCAATAGCTCATGCTGAGCTTGGGGGTGCGTGCTTCTCTCTGAGCCAGGTGCTGTGTTCCAGGGATTAGCTCCTTAGTTCTGAGTACCGGCCCCCACCCTCACCCCCCCCCCACCCCCGCTGTTGTACTTGGATACTTCTTGATTCACATTGTGTTTCGTGCCAAGGGAACTGAAAGCTCGGGCTGGAAGACGGTGGGCTCCTGCCCTCTTGCTTTACGACGTGTGAGAAGGCCCCGCCACGTGCCAGGCGCCACCCTAGGCATGCCGCCATGCATCTCCGGGTTCAGCCTTTCCATGCGCCCACGTCCCTAGAAGATGGGGCCGCCGGCACTGCTGTAGCGCCAGCTCTGTGCCAGGAGCCTGGAGCTTCTCACTGCTTCTCAGGGCCAGGCGGGTAAGGTGCTGTCATTAGAGTTTACTGATGGAGACTTAGCACAGAGAGGTTAAGAAACCTGCTCAAGGTCACACAGGAAGGAGCAGAGCCGGAATTTGAGCACAGGCAGGACCAGCACTCCTAACCATCGTAGCCTGTGTCGACTCTTCTCTCGCTTTTACAGCAGAGGAAACAGATGCTCAGTAAGGGACCCACCTTGGGGAACATTGGAGGCCAGAAGGTGCTGTGTGGGGCTTGAATCCAGTGGGAGCATCTGTTTCCTCGGCTGCCCTCTGTGCTCCCAGTGGCATGCCGCCCCCCCCCCCCCTTACCTTGCAGCCTTGACACTGCAGAGGCAGAGTAAGGGCATGGTGTGGGGGTCAAGGTCAAACCCGGGGTGGGGGTGCCCAGGGAAGAGGAGATTTGGAGGCAAGGGAGCAAGGTCCCCTCCCTGGAGCAAAAGCTCCCAGGAACCATGTGACTGTGAGGCAAGAGCAAGTGGGAGCAGGAGCCAGCCTAAGACAGGAGCCCCAAGGCCACTGGAGGTCAGACATGGAGATAAAGACCAGGAGCCCGCGTGGACCCACCCAGCCCAGGAGTGGGTTTTAGGACCAGCCGGGGGTGGTGGGGGCCTGTGACACCTGGGGCTGGAGGAAGCCAAGGGGAGGCCTGTGACATGTGTGGCTGGCCTGACCCTCGAAGACCCCAGGCCCCATAGCCCCCAAGTGCCCCTACAGCCCGTCTTGCCTGCCAGCAGCCCCGCTGCCAGCCTGCATCAGGTGGGCTCTCTCTGTGCGGCGTGGGCTCGCCTCCCGGGCTGCCATCTGTTACCGTAGGGCCAGGCTCTGAGCAAGCAGCATAAGTCCAGGCAGGGCACACCCGGGCCTGACTCCACTGCTTAGAACCTGTGTCACTTTGGGAAGTTATGTCACCTCCCCATTGTGCTAATGGGGGTGGAGAGGAGTTGTCGCAGGGCATTAACGGCTCCCCGGAACCAGAGGCTGCATCCAGCCCGTGGCACGGCGCAAGGAGGCGTGAGGACGAAGACGCCTGGGGGAGTGTGTAAAGAGCCCCACACGTAGCGAGATGATCGGAGATGGCGTTTGTGATGTGCTCAGTACAGTGTCTGCAGTGGAAAGACGGCTCTGGCCCCCTGAGGAGGTGTGGCCTCCCAGCGTGACAACCAGGGTGGCCTCCAGGGTGGCCTCAGCACTGCCTCCCAGCATGGCCTCCCAGTGTGGCTTCCCAATGTGGCCTCCAGGGTGGCCTCAGTGCTCCCTCCCAGCATGACCCCCACAACGTGGCCTCCCAATGTGGCCTCAGTGCTCCCTCCCAGCATGGCCTCCCAATGTGGCCTCAGTGCTCCCTCCCAGCATGACCCCCACAACGTGGCCTCCCAACGTGGCCTCAGTGCTCCCTCCCAGCATGACCCCCCAACGTGGCCTCCCAACGTGGCCTCCCAACGTGGCCTCAGTGCTCCTTCCAGCATGGCCTCCCAACGTGGCCTCCAGGGTGGCCTCAGCGCTGCCTCCCAGCGTGTCCCCCCAACATGGCCCGGCCGCAGCAAGTCTGAGCCACCTTAGTTGCTCCGAGTTTTGCATATTTTGAGGAGATGGTGACTCATTTTATAACCTGTGTCTACGGGGCCAATTTAGCAAATTAATTTTTTTTGTAATAAGGATTTAAAATTCATTAGCTGTTGTCACTGATGGTTTTCCTCTTGTTCCCCAGCTCCATGTTTTAAGGCTGGAGAAAAAAAGACCGTGTGATTAGAAATCCATCTCCACACCCCCCCTCGCCCCTTTTAAAATTTCAAAGTGAACTGTCCATCTCGTCCTTGGAGGAAGCCCAGGCCTGCATCCGTCTCCCCTCACGGTAATAGTCCTCGGTTGGAGCAGGAAGTCTTTGGGAATCAATTAAGTAGACGAA